GTCTGCCGAGGGCCTGTCATCCTTCGGGCATACCGACAATGCACAAAGGACAGCTATCATCCCACACCCGAAGGCAGCAGCGAAGAAGAGGAAATCCATCTCCAATAGCCATTCCCATCCCTGCAGAAGGCCACAAATGGCCATCTCCGTGGCGCCATCTGAACTCACTGAGGCAGTAGCCAAGGGCCACATGCTCAGGCAGCAGCCGAGGGCCACGGGGTGTACCACCCAACGAGCCTCCAGCTCGTGCACGTACTCCCGTATCAGCGCCGCTAAATTCAATCTCATGAATCTCATCCATGTTGGCGTCGGTGATGTTCTGCTCCTCCACATGGGAGGCGGGCTGGCGCCACTTGGAGGCACACTCGCCAGCTCTCGGGCCTCGGCTCGACAGACAGGCGTCGGGCCTTTGGTCAGCCATCGGAATTCCACTACAGCACCAAGCCAAGTGATGCCAGTCTGCAACAACCCGCTGATGGCACCAGCAACAGCTGGCCTCGGGCATGCCAAACTTCCGTTTGCCATAGAAGGCGGTGGCTCGTCTGCCCAGCATCGTACTGCCAGGCTCGCAGTCACGAGTCCCGGTGTGCCTGGCTCTTGAACTCCCCGTGAAGCCGCTGCCGCCATTGCTCCCGAAGCTTATGCCGCACCTCGCCGCTGCCCTCTCATGTTGAGCTGATGCTGTCCCGCAATGAAGCGGACACCGTTCGCAGCAGCACTCCAGCCCATACGGCTCATAGCGGCACAAACCGTGCCATACCATGTGCCGGCGTTGGCATGCTGAGCAATCTGAGCCCAGAGGCCCGACACTTGGAGTGACGCCACAGAGTGGTAGCTGGCCACAAATCAACATGTTGTGACCTTCCAGGAGCGTCTGAAGCGGTCGGCTGCCTTGAGCCTGGAGGTTCAGAACCTCCTTCAGCGCCTGCCCGAACTGGCGACTGACCTCCGGCGAAGGAGGCTTGAACAAGTGTCCCCAAGCGGTGACGACAGCTTCTTTCAGGACCAGAAGGCCTGGTTGCAGACCCGCAATCCGAACCCCCGGGCGAAGGTAGCGGCAATGCAAAAGGAAAGGGCGGCAAAGCTGGCAAACGCAAAGGAAAGCAACAGCCAGCAACCCGCCCGGCCAATGCGAACTAGGATGTGGTTGTGGAGAAGTCCGTGAGCCACAGCTCCGACGGGAAGGGACCGGACGGAATCTAGCAGCTCAGATACCGGCGTACTGCACTGCTACAGCCCCTCTGTGGCCCTTAGTAGCCAGCCTATCATACTTGTGCGGCCCTCGGTTGCCAGCCCGTCTTGCCAATTTGTGGCCCTCGGTTGCCAGCCACAGTTACGCTTGCCATTCCTCCCTTGTGTTTGCCAGGGCATTGGGCTGCCGGGCAGAACGGGTTGAGTTGGTTGGTTAGCTTGGTTGTGGCAGAGTCTGCTGAATTTCTTTTTGGCCTCGGTCTTGACGGACGCCGGAGCGTGGCGCCCGAAGGTGGAGACAGCAGGTCGTAGAGAAGGTCGTCCCCACCGAGGACGGCGGGAGTCAGGGTGCATCCCTGTAAGGTGTGGGCGGGACCAGCGCTGGACAGCCAAGGTGAGGAAGCGGGCTCATCAGCGTCAGAAGCGGCGCCTTGAAGGCCAGGGCAAGGCCGCCTGTAATGCGTGTAGCGTGCTTTCAGTGCCGCCAGGCTGCGGCCAGCCGTCTGCGATCAGTGAAAGGTGGCCGAGGGATGCATTCACTTAGGACTTAGGTGTCATCGAGGGCCAGTTCAGTGGGCATTGACGGTCATGCTTACGAACGGTGCGTGCGATGCAAATTGCGAGCAGGACATGCATAAGAATCCCCTTGCAGTGGACAGTGTCGCTCATACGCAGCATGAGGTATCCAGCCGGCAAGCGTTGGATTTTTCCTTTTTTGATTTTGACAATGCTCAAGGGCAAGAATTTGTTTGCGCAGGTTTTGGGCCTACCGGTGAAAGGGACCTCCTAAGAAGTGAACTTTCCACTGATAGGCCGCAGGTGAGTGGTGGAGGTCAGCCGCCAGGTTGTCGAGATTGCCTAGACGGCCATCCTAGGCGGGGCATGCACAGGACTTCCTCTACAGTGGACAGTGTTACTGGCACGCAGCATGAGGTATACAGGATTTTTCCTCTTTTGATTTTGGCAGTGCTCAAAGGCAAGTCCTGCCAGTGAAAGGACCTCCGAAGCAGTGAAACTTTCTACTGGTAGGCAGCAGGAGAGTGGTGGAGGTCAGCCGCCAAATCGTGGAGAATGCCTAGACGGCCATCCTAGGCGGGAGAGCTTTGTTCGGCAAGCCGGGGTGTTATTGCAGAACTCCTGTTTTACTGCTCCTCGAGGGGGAGGCGGTGGCAACGATGGTGATGACAGCTTCTTTCAGGATCTGAAGGCCTGGTTGCAGACCCGCAATCCTGAACCCCCAAACAAAGGTAGCGGCAATGCAAAGGGAAAGGGTGGCAAAGCCGGCAAAGGCAAAGGAAAGAACAGCCGGCCAATGCGAAGACGACCAGGTGCTTAAAGCAGTCCTCCGGCTAGTGCAAAGGGCAGGGGCTCAGGGCACCCATGGGATCTGTGACAGATTGTGCAACTTGGTGCATCATGCTGATGAGGGCAAGCAGCTGACAAGTGGCAGGGCTGCTCGCAAACAGAAGGCTAAGGACAAGAAAAAGGGCCAGCAGCAGTCCTTTTACAACATTGCTGCCTGGCTTACGGATGCACCTAGTGCCGTCCCCGCCTTGGCTGGAACCGGCAGGCCGACGGGCAAGGCAAAGGGCCAGACAGCCCGATCGCTCTGCTCAGGCCATTCCTGGCATCACAGGGTCAGAAGCCTGCCTACAGACACGGTGGTGGTCCAGGCCAGCAAGCTTCAGGCCGGCCCGAGTCAATGAGGTCAGCGACAAGATCGCGGTGGTGTGCCTAGGCCACCAGCGGCCGAGGATCCCACATCAAATCCTGCTGTGCACTTGAATCGCGAGGCCCGGCAGGGTCGGTTGCCGACGCCGGCCGAGTTGGGAGCCGATGGCGGGTCAGTCAGTGTTAAGACGGAGGTTCAGGGTTGTACGGAGGGTTCGGCTTCCAGTAGCCAGGTTCCTTTGGGATTGGTGCCGTCGTGCAGGGAACGGCATTATGGCGTTCCGTCTGTCAGGTTGCGACGTAAGGTTGCCGTGAGTGCCACAGGTACGCCTATCCGTGCGAAGAGGCGCATCCATTGGGTCACCCAGCATGCCAGGCGGAGAGCACAGAAGTTCGAGGCTGGGCAGGGCAGGTATATGTGGCCAAGAGATGAGTGCAAAGCGAAGCTCCGCAGTGCGACCTATGCGGGGCTGACACACATGCGGAACAATCATATCTGCAGGATCCACAAGCACGTTCCTAAGGACCGTCTTTCACAGATGGGACCCGCTTTGCGGCTCCCGACTGCCACTTGTCAGCGATTGCGAGAACATCACCTGGATGTGTTTTCACTGTCGTGAATTTCTACCTCGGTGTCAGAGGCGAGTGCGAGCCAATAGCATCGGTGCTCACATCAAGCAGTGCGAATTGTGGCCCCTGCACTGGTGTCCCCTCCAGAACATCAGGGCCATCCTGGAAGATCAGGGTTATACCACGGTAGGGCGTCATAAGGCCTGTTCGGCAAGCATGTTCCATAAGGTCGACTTGCACTCCTACAGGCCACGTCGGGTCAAAGCTGAGCGGCCACAGCTGTTAAGCGGAAGCCCGGAGCTTGGGATCGGACGTTCGATTAAGGTCCTCACGTGGAACAGTCAGGGCAGCCAGAACTTACTGCGGGCGGCCGCCAACGGCCTTTTGTGGGGCACCGGGGGTCGTTATGGTGCAGGAGGCGGGTCTGGATGCACACTTGAGCCGCGAGCTCTCTGTGATGGCGGCGCATCATCGTTTTCACGCTTTCTTTATGGAGGCTGAGTGCTCCACTGACTCTCTTGGCAGGCCTAGGCGCAAACATGGTTTGGCAACTTTCGTTCAGCAGGACTATGCGGCGTGGCTTGTTCAGTCCACTGGTGTGCCCTGTGCCTTCGAGGCGATGTGCGTGAGGGTTGGACAGACCTTCGTAGTCAATGTGTATCGGGTGCCCAGCGGTGCTGAAGCCCCGTACTGCGACTTCCTTCACGACCAAAGGATGACCAGTTGTTGGCCGTCAGCGGTAGCCTCGGCCCTGGTTCAGACAAAAACGCCTTTCAAATGAAGGCGCCCTAAACCCTAAAAGGCCCCGAAATGAAGGCACCCTAAACCTCAAACAAAAAGACCCTTAAAATGATGCCGCTCCAAAACCTTGTGAAACCAACCCAGCCCTCAACACGAAAGCAATTTAAACCCTAACCGGAAAGGCCCTTAAAATCAAAGCACCCTGAAACCTTAAACTCCAAACGAGCTCCTAAACTGAAAGCACCCTAAACACTTGACCCATGCTAACTTCAGCAAAAATCGTCTGACTTGGTGCAAACAGCCGTCCGGGCACGAGCAATTCTGGCGGCCTTGCTCGCAGGGTGGTGCCGGCGGCGACTACAAGCAGTACATGGACTACTCCAAGTACACTCAGGGTCAGGGCTCCCAGGCCAGATAGTTTCAAAAGTGCGGAGTATTGCAGAGTTGGAATGCCTATACCACCAGGGCTTTTGAATTCTTGCCGGCTTGAGTTCTCCGTTCCGGACTTGGGCTGCGTAGGATTCAGGGTTCGTTGGAATCTTGCCCGGTTCTAGATCGCAAAGCTTATGGTTGATGTTTTTGGGTTGGAGGATCTGCGTGGAGTCTAGGAGTGAATGGTCATGGGGCGTGAAACTGTAGCACGGATGCAGCCGAAAGTGTGTCGTCTATGGTCTGTGCTTGACAAAGTGAAATTGCCCGGGCAGGCGATCACAACTGTCGTTAGGATGGGTTGTTGCTGCAGCCTTTTCAAACGATCGTGGTTTCTTAGGTTTGTGGTTTTGGTGGAGATGGCCGTCCGGACACAAGCACTTCTTTCGGCCTTGCAGGGCGGAGGTGCTTCAGATTACAAGAAGTACATGGAGTCCTACAGCGGCGACTACAGCAAGTACATGAAGGGCCAAGGCTCCCAGGCCAGATACTTTCAAAGGTGCAGAGTTGCACTGCCTAGGCCTAGACCACCAGGGTCTTTGAATTCTTGCAGGAATCTTATTTCGTGTCTTGACGGTCCCAGTGTCACACGAGCTGTGGTTGAGGACATCAGGTCGGAGAATTTGCGTGGGGTGTGGCAAACGTCTGTAGGATGAGTTTTGTTTTGCATGATTTCTGCATAGGGTTCAGGGCTTATTGCAGGCTTGAGTCTTGCATCGTGCCGTTTGCGGTCGCAGTGTCGCAAGAGCTGTGGTTGAGGGGGAACTGTCGTCGTGGAGCGAGTGGTGCTATTACATTTTCAGAATCTTTCAGAGGCATCAGCAATGTTTCTGTTTCCACACCACGTCCAAGAATATCCATGCGCTTGCCATTTCCGGGTAATCACGGGGTTGTTTTCATTGTACAGGATGTCAATGTACCTCCACGCGTGTGGAACCTTGTTAAACCCAAACGGACCTTTAAAACGAAGACAACGTAAACCCTAAACCCAGAAAGGCTTTCAAATCAAAGCACCCTAAATCTTAAACCCCAAGCAAGCCCTTACAACACCGTAAACCCTGCACCGGGTTGACTTCAGAAAAGGCCGTCTCATTTGCGGCGGGATGGCGTGCAATCTCGACAATTGTTTGAAAGATGATGGTATGCTGCACGTTTTCAAGCAGAATGTGGTTGCTTGGATTTGTGGAAATTGGTGCAAACAGCCATTCGAACACAAGCATTTTTTCGGCCTTGTTCGGAGGGTCGTGCCTAAACAGGTTGTTTACAGCCATAAAATGGGAAGTATTGCATTTCGGCAACTTTTAGACGGATACGCCATGCATGTCGGATTCGCTTCTGGTCTGCATTGCCTTCGTGCATGGAGAAACAGTGGCATGACTCGCGTACTCGCGCAGGATCGCCGCGTCGGTACCTGGTTTGGCACTGTCGGGGCCTTCCTGAGAAAGCATGGCTGGCAGCATGACGATGCTGCGGTCTTTCATTCCCCTCATCGCAGAATGGACTCCTCAACCGACACGGCTGGTCAAGTGGACCATGCGGTGCATACTCAGTGGAGACGAATGCTTCATGCACGGTTTTGCGCGGCCGAGCGGCTAGAGGCAAGAGCCCTCACTCATTGGCAATTTCATGAAGCACAGACCAAGCAGGCCATCTTGCTTGCTACGGCTGAGGCTAAGGCAGTCATGCTTGGTGCTGCATGGTGCTGCACATTCCACCGCATTCTACGACAAGCGACGCTTTCAGAGCACGGCGGCGTGCTGCAAATGGTGTCGAGCTGAAGTGATTCCCTGTTGGGATCACCTGACCTGGCATTGTCAGGGCCTGAGCTGCGCAGACTTTCGTCCCACTGGAGTGCCTCGGAGGAGCCACGAGACCTGAGACCCCTATAGTTGGCCTGAGCCTCATGAGACTCTGGAGATTGCTTCTGCCCGGCTCCGCTTCATGGGATGTGTCCGAGAGTGTGCACGTGAACAGCTGGGTCCTGCGAGAGGAGTTGCAGGATGAGAAGCTGCTTGAGCTGAGTTGGGCTTTTCAGCAACGGGCCGTGGTGAGTCTCCTCCCATCTTGAGATGGGCGCTTTTTTCTCGAGCATGGTCGTACGTCCTCCGGGGCTTGCAGTCCATTCAAACTACACGCGGCGATTCCAAGCAGCACATGGACTACTCCCCGCGCCTCAGAGTCAGGTGTGGAAGGATGCGCAATTGCCGGCGGACGCAGGTGACCATCAACAAGTCACGGAGGATGAATGGAGGTGGCTTTGTGATACGGCTGAACCTGCTATGCGGTATGCGGCGAGTTGCAGCGGCTCTCTCGCCGTGCCGCCGTAGGAAAGGCTCTTTGCTTCAGACTCATCAAGTGGGCAAGCGGGAGACCCAGACGGTTCAGAAGGGCACTTTGGCTTTGAGGAGACTTCTCAAACTCCAAGGGCGCATACGTGAGATGCAACGCCAGTCCGCTAAGGGACGTGAGGTCACCGGATTGGCTAGGGACATCGAGCACACTTGGCCTCGGTCTTTGGGGCCTTTTCCGGGATGCGATGTCTCTGAGGAGCTTATCAGTGGACGTTGCTATTCAGCAGTTGCACGAGTCCCAGGCTCGACAAGGAGTTCATAAGTGGCAGCAATCCATCGCGAAGGGCAGTCGGCAGGCCACTGCATGGCTTCGGTGAAAACAAAGGGCTTTCTCATATGTCACTCCTCATGATGAGAGGCCAGAGGCAGGGATGGCGGTGTCCGTGAATGACAGTCTCCGCAACATTAGGCGATTCCGGCAGATTGAGAGCCGTACAGCAATGGAAAGGCCATGGCAAGCGGTGCTCCTTCCGCGGTTGCCTGGCTCATATCGTCAGTGCCGAAAACTTGGCCAAAGCTGCGACTGCTGAGTAAGGCTGGCAGCTCGGAGGGCACTGACGGGTGGACCGGAACTGAAGTCTCCACTCGGCCCGAGGCCGCGTGGGCCGCCTTTGCCACTCTTGCGCTGCGGTGGTTCAAGAGGAGGCGATTCCAACACGTGTGGTCCCAATTCAGACAGATACACCTCCCGAAGGAGGAGCCGCATTTGGCGGCGGGGGCGATGCGTGCGGACCAGATGCATCCAATCACGGTGTTGTCCATCCATCCTCTGGCGCACCATCGGATCTTGCTTGGTCAGCCACAAAGCGTGCAGATGTGGTGCAGCGAGATTGCACATGAAAGTCAAGTTGGAGGCATACGTTCTCGGCACTTGTTCCATGGGCTGGCCACGATTCCGGAACCATTCCAAAACGGGCACGCTATTGGGGCCCTGGACTATCAGAAGTGTTTCGACTACGTCGCGCCATCTGTGGCGTGCGACATCTTGGCCGCGGCGGGACTGCCCAAAGACTTGGTGCAAGCCTTGCGTGTGATCTGGGATCAAACTCGTTTCATCCAGGCCATTCCAGGCGAAAGGGCCATCAAGTTGCTCCAGGATCAGAAGCCATTGCCTACAGACACGGTGGTAGTCCAGAGTGCTGCACAGGCCAGCAAGCTTCAGGCCCTGGCCCGGGTCAATGAGGTCAGTGACAAGATCGCGGTGGTGTGCCCAGGCGAACTTGGCGAGGAGGCGGGCAAACGCGATGTCACGTGCATTCGGGGCGACGAGCGGCAAGTGCAAACCTGGAACGCCGTTGCTTTGACCCCCGGGTGGCTTGCCCGACAAACCGGCGGTGCGGAAGGTCTCAACCTTTGAGCCTCCCACCCGAAGCCTGCAAACACTACGTGTGCTTTGCCCCCGCGACTACGTGGATCCTGAGATGTAGAATGCCCTCCAGCAATACCCTAGTGAAGTGGTCAAGCGCTGTACTTTTATTGCCTTTCTCAAGGCCGAGTCGTGGCGCATCGCTATAAGGAGGGCACCGAGCACATGATGACGGGCTACCTCACCTACGAGCAGGGCCAGGCGGCAGCGGCATTGCGTGTCTGGGCTGCATGACATCTTCTTTGAGGCGCAGGCGCGGGACGCGCCACGGAGAGCTATGGACCTTCGTGCAGTCCTTGCCGGTGCTCCGGGGCAACCTCTGGCTTTTCGCAAAGGCGGTGGCACAGCTTTGCGCGTTCGAGTTGCCCCGGGCAACACAACTACCTCCAGTACCAGTTCGCGGAGAGTGCGAGGTGTCCCCAGGACATGGTCAGGAGCGGACGTCGTGGCGGCTTTGAACGGGGCCGACTGCTGCGACACTGAGGTTACCTCAGAAGCGTACGGCAAGCGGCCGTGGCTGATCCGGACAAAGGTCAAGAACGACGATGGTGCGCTGGCTTTGATCATCGAGGCCAGGACTCAGCGCTTACAATTGGAGCGAGTGCAGCGGCGTCACAGGACCGACCGAGCCGGTGACACAGCATGGCACCCGCCAAAAGGCAAAGGCAAGGGCAAGCTTATGGATGCCTCAAGGGGTTCGGATGTTAGCCACTAAAGCTTCGATGGATCTGCCTTGAGCAGCCTCACGCGCCCGACCCCGGAGCTTCAGCAACTCTCTCACGGCGAAAGTCCCCTTGATCTCGTGAGTTTGCCGTGCCGGCTGCAACGCATACAAGCTTCCTTTCACTCGCCGATTGGGGACCCGCCGAATGACGGTTTGAGTGCAAAGGATACGCGGCCAGTTGTGATACTTTCCTCGTGTGGCGGCTGGTCAGTAGCTGCATAGCCACGGCGTCGGCAACAAACAATGGTATTTGGACGTCCTCCATCACTCTCAGTATGGAGGCATACTTGGAAGGCACTTTCACTCAGTTTTCCATGCCAAAATTTTTGTAAAATGAAGGCGCACTAAACCCTAAAGGGCCCCCAAAAGCGTTTCAAACGAAGCCGCCCGAAAACCTTGCAAAACCCAAACAAGCGCTTAAAGCGAAGGCAACCTAAACCCTAAACGTAGAAGACCCTTAAAATCAAAGCACCTTAAATTTTAAATCCCCAAAAAAGCCCTGATTTCAGCACAAGCCGTCCGGTTTGTAAGGGTTGGTGCAAACCGCGGTCCGAACACAAGCAGTTCTGTCGGCCTTGTTTCATTAAAACCAGTAAGATGGCTCAATGATTGGGCGCCTCTTTGATTAAGCGTACATATCTAGCTTTCCACAGCTTTTCGCAGGAATCTGCAAGAAACTAAGCAAAACCTACGACAAGCTAAGAGAAGCTAAGAGAAACTAAGAGAAACTAAGATAAGCTACGGGTTTCCTGTATTGAAGTATGTCCTGGGCTGGGAAGCTACGGATTTCCTGTGGTACAGTGTGCCCTTGAAGGGCCTAAGCAGGAAACTACAGGTGGGTGTTATTTGTTCCTAGCAGTCGGAGGCGGGCTTTGACTTCTGTTTGTGCCGGCAATCCACTGCCGATCCGTCGGCCATAGCGCCTAAATGCATTTGTTTCAGGAGGTTCTTTGGCTCAGACCCCGAACTGCTAATATTTTCGTACGATCGGAACCCGCTCTTCTAGGCAAGGCTACCAAAAGCTAGACAAAGCTAGAACAAGCTAGAAAAGGCTAGCGAAAGCTAGAAAAGGCTAGCGAAAGCTAGATAAAGCTAGAAAAAGCTAGATTTTTCCTGGGTTCCGGGCAAGCCCCAGGGCCAGAGTATCAGAGGAGACCGGGATTTCACTAAAGGAATATCACAGAACACCACGGAGTATCACAGAATACGGGTTGTCACTAAAAGACTTGAATGCAAAGGAACATACCAGAATACCTGGTTCTCAGCAAAGGAATGTCACAGGATACCAGGTTTGCAGCGGAGGAGCTATCTAGCTCCCTTTACTCGTGCTCCGAGCCCAAAGAGGGACCCCATCATGGAGCCATCTTATTGGTATTCCAGATTGTTCGCAGGGTGGTGCCGGCGGCGACTACAAGCAGTACATGGACTACTCCAAGTACACTCAGGGTCAGGGATCCCAGGCCAGATAGTTTCAAATGTGCAGAGTATTGCAGAGTTGGAATGCCTATACCACCAGGGCTTTTGAATTCTTGCCGGCTTGAGTTCTCCGTTCCGGACGTGGGCTGCGTAGGATTCAGGGTTCGTTGGAATCTTGCGCGGTTCTAGATCGCAAAAACTATGGTTGATGGGTTGGAGGATCTGCGTGGAGTCTAGGAGTGAATGGTCATTGGGCATGAAACTGTAGCACGGATGCAGCCGAAAGTGGGTCGTCTATGGTTTGTGCTAAGTGTTGGAAGTTGCCCGGGCAGGCGACCTCTTAAAAGGATTGTGGTTGCTTGGGTTTGTGGTTTTTTGCATACAGCCGTCCGGACACAAGCAGTTCTGTCGGCCTTGTTCGCAGGGTGGTGCCGGCGGCGACTACAAGCAGTACATGGACTACTCCAAGTACACTCAGGGTCAGGGCGCTCAGGGCGCGAAGGCAAACGACGCAAGCTCCGAAAGCCCTGCCCTGTTGGCCGCTGCTACATCTTCGGATGAGGGGTCGTTCGTCCGGGACTACAAAAACTACATGCAGCAGCGTGGCAAGAATGTTTCCGCTGGATTCGAGAAGTACATGAAAACCCATGCGGGGGAGTTCAAGCACTACGTGCAATCCCGTGGTGCTGAAGCAGCTGGTGACTTCGATGACTACTTCAAGAACTACAAGAGCTTCTTCCAGAACGAAGGCAAAGATGCAGCCGGCGATTTCCAAAAGTTTGTCAACGAGTATGCCAGCGACTACGCGAAGTACTTGAAGGTCTGCGAGCCTGCATGTATTGCTTTGTGCTCTGTTCGGCCTCTGTTTTGAATCTTCCTCAGTCCGCTCCCATGTGCGGCCTTAGCTACAAACTCTCTGAAACTCGTACGGCCATGGCCACGTTCCTCAGCCAGTACGTTCTGTCGAGCTCCCTGCCGTCGAATCCTGCAGGAACGAGGCGACAACGCTGCAACTGACTACAAGAAGTACCAGACGCAGTACCAGGCAAACTGCAGGGAGCTGCACGGATGCTGCTTGTTCTGCCTGCTTTTCGTTCTCACTGCACGATTGGGAGGAGGGTGGGGCAGCCGTGGCCGCATCGCTGCATTATCTCTTCCGCGACCCTTCACGGTGCTAGCTCTTCTGGCTGCTAGTGCAAGCATGCACGCTCGTAAAGTTGTCCTCTGTGAACTGCAGATGAGGTCCTTGCGTCCACTGGTGGTGACCAGAGTGCTGCTCCTGATCAACAGAGCGCCGAAGAGAAGAAGGAAAGCCAGGAGCGACATCTTAGCAGTCGGAGGCACGGAAATTTGCATTGTTTTGTTGGTCTTGGCAGGAGAGGGAGGAGGAGAAGCAGAGGCTCCGCGAGGAGCTGCAGTCAGAGCACGAGCGCCTGAGGAAGGAGCTGCAGGCAGAGAAGGAGCGGAAACTGGCGGAAACTTCAAAGCAATGCACCGATGCCGACCTGATACGGTCCAAATCTGAATCCTGTTAGGAGCACCTCCGCGAGGAGCTTGCAGAAGAGGCGTGAACATTCCTTGGCGCATAGGTGCGGGGGGATCCCTTTTCTGCTAGGCGAAGGAGCACCAGCAGAGCCCCAAGGTCGGCCAGCTGTGAATCTTCTTTTGCCGCAGTTTTCCCGGAGCCATCTGTCAGTCTGGAGCGGCGCCGGCGATGCTGATGCAGAAGGCCCGACGAAGTTGATTGCTGAATCATGGCAGACTTCGCGAGGAGCATTCACGATCTGAGAATTTTTTGCACCGATATGCACTGGTTTCGGGACCAACATTTCTAGCTTGTGTGTCTTAAAGCCCCGATGTTCCGGTCTGGGAGTGGAAAGGTCGCCACCTACTGGTTCTTCACTCCGCTGCTTCTGGGTGGCAAGGGCACTGGAGGGGATGACACACGCTGGTGGTCTTTGCCCGACTAGACTAGACGAGCTAATAAGTTCGAGTACATCATAGTACCAGGCTCGCAGTCGTGGCCGGTGCCGGGGCCGTCTTCGCTTTCTTGCGGCGACAGGCCGCCGGAGCAAACGGTTCCGAAGTGTGAGCAAGGTAGCAACTGTGCAGAGGTTCGTCCTGAAATTCATCAGTACATGCGTGCTTGCAAGCAACAATTCAGCCAAAGCATCAGCAAATTGGAGTGAGCCGTTTCGAAGTCAGGGCTGTTGTGGAAGCATGTGCGCAGGCTCAGCGCCGCCGATCTGTCATGGACGACTATGTTCTTGGCTGAGATGTGCTGAGATCATATGTGCTCTGAGCACCCCTTGACCCGGGCTACTGTTGTCCGTCATAGGCTCCAACATGCAATTTACTTTACTCGTTACGATACCATTGCAAGTTGACTTGTTATCCATATATAATGAAGCAAGTTACCAGAGCTAGTTCCATGACCAATACCATTGCCAACACGGGTTGCCTGCCAATACCACCTCCACCACCACCACCACTCCACCACGACTTCTATTCCTACTCTTACTCCTATTCCTACTAGTGCCAGCACTACTACTACTACTACTACTACTACTACTACTACTACTACTACTACTACTACTACTACTACTACTACTACTACTACTACTACTACTACTTCTACTACTACTACTACTGCCACTACTACTACTACTACTACTACTACTACTACTACTACTACTACTACTACTACTACTACTACTACTACTACTACTACTACTACTACTACTACTACTGACACCAGCACCACCACCACCACAACCACTACCACGATAACGAGGAGGAGGAGGACGACTACTACTACGACTACCACCACTACTACTACTACCACTACTACTACTACTACTACTACTACTACTACTACTACGACTACGACTACAACTACAACTACGACTGCTACTACTACTACTACTACTACTACTACTACTACTACACGACGACTACTACTACTACTTCTACTACTACGACTACGGCGGCGACTACGACTACCACTACCAGTACTACTCCTCCTACTCCTACTACTATACTACTTACAACTGCTGCTGCTGCTACTGCTACTAATGCTACTGCTGCTATTACTGGTACTGCTGCTACTGCTGCTGCTGTTGCTACTACGACCGCGGCTATTACTACTTCGGCTACGACTACCACGACTCAAACCACCAGCACGACCACTACGACGACTGTTGCTGCCGTCATCATCACCATCATCATCATCATTATCAGCCTTGAGACATAGTTTTTGTTGTTTCAGGTTGTTATGTTGTCCAGGTGATGCACGAGGATGCCCCTCTTGCTGCTGTGCACCTCTGATGCATTGAGGTTACACGAGGGATCCCGCTATTTCGGGTCTATGTTATGGTGCCCTATTCTTCTGAGACTTTCATAGCTTGTGGCATTGTTGTTGCTGCTTCGTCTGGACAACGGCTCTAACCTTGGCAGGTAAATGCGATGCGCTCGAAGAGTTCCATCGCAGAGTATCTTCTTGGCCTGCAGTGGCTGAGAGAAGGCGGGCAGATGGCATCGGCATCGTCAGCTTTCTGAAAGCCTTCGCTTGCGGTTGACTGACCCCTTTTCCCCGGCTTGCAGCCTGCCCAACTCGCACATGTTTTCTTTCAACTTTTGAAGTGGCGGTCCAGTTTCCCCGGATTCGTTGGATTCGGGGCAAGATTCGCGCGTGATAACATGCTCAGCAGTATGACGTTTGTCGTATACCAGAAGCTCAAGATTTGACAATATTTGAGAAGAGCCTAGATCTCAGCAGCTGGATCCTTGACCGACTGATATTTCTTAAAATTGCAATCCAAGCATCTTGGGATCACCGCCAAGTCAACCATGTGCTACTTCCTCGTAGAGAAGGCGAGGAAAATTCGAAGTATGCAGACGCCGTGGCTTCCGCAGCGACTCCTCCAAGAGTTAACCTGCAAGGCGCATCCGACAGCGCGGAAGCCACGGCACTCCCGGTAAGCTGTCTTGAACTGCAGCGACCAACAGCCAAAACAATACACGCAAAGAAGGACAAACCAGAGCCGATGGGTCGCAGATAAACCATGCAGTCTCATACAATCATCGGAGTGATTGACTTACGTAGTCGAATTACGTAGTCGCAATCGCTCAACTTCGCACTTCTATGCGACAACTAAGACTGAACTAGCAACATTGTGTGCCGGTACCACTGCCGCTCCTGCTCCTCGTGCAGTACGTCCGAATACCACCACTACCACGACTGCCACCACTGCGACCACTAGTACTGCTACTGCTACTATAACTACTATGACTACGATGACGACTACTACTACTACTAGTACTACTACTACTACTACTACTACTACTACTACTACTACTACTACTACTACTACTACTACATACTACTACTACTACTACTACTACTACTACTACTACTACTACTACTACTACTACTACTACTACTACTACTACTACTAGCACTACTCCTACTGCTACTGCTGCCACTACCACTACTACTACTACTACTACTACTACTACTACTAGCACTACTCCTACTGCTACTGCTGCCACTACCACAACCACTACCACAACCACTACCACCACCACCACTGCTGCTACTGCTACTGCTGCTACTGCAGTGCTACTATGATTACTGCTGCTACTACTACTACTGCTACTGCTATCTCCTAGCTACTAACTACTAACTGCTCTAACTACTAACTGGTAGCTAGTAACTACTAACTACAACAACTATTGCTGCTACTATTACCACTACCAATCGCTACTCACTGCTCACTACTTGCTGTTTACTACTAGCATTTGTATTATTCCTACTACTGCTATTACTACTACTACTACTGCTACTACTACTACTACTACTACTTCTACTTCTACTTCTACTTCCACTGCTACTACTCCTACTCCTCCTCCTACTACTACTACTACTACTTCTACGACTACTACTACTACCACTACTACCACTACTCCTGCTGCTACTGCCACTTGCTGCCTGCTGCTTGTTCTACCAAGTGCAGCACAGAAACTTGAGACAACAGGGTGCACTACGAAAGGCAGGGGCCGTGCAAGCAGCATTGAAAGCACCACCATCCGTGGCAGCTTCACCAACAGTGACCAGCACAGCTTCCACCATCACCGTCCCCACTATCCTGCATAACTGGAGCAGAGGCAGTCAACAATTACAGGCCATAGCCACATGATCGGACACTGAGAACTGCGGTTCCGGCAACACTGCGGTAATTGCTTCGGAAGTAACTCGAAAGATGATCATAGTAGTGACGAACATAGCTGACTCGAAAAAGCCGCGATTGAACCAAATGGACAAATGGAGGAGCAATCTGAGCAGCACGAGCGTTCGTAAATAGCCGCGGGTGCCATGGTCACTGCAGGATGAGGACTTTTGAGCCGTCACAGACAGCTTGCTGACAAGCTGATTGGCAGAGCTAAAGTCTCACAACCCAGATTTGGGAGCCCGCTCGCCGTCGACTCTGGCTTTTGGGCCAGTCTTGTTTTGCTATACTCCAGGCCACGTAGGGATGAGAAGTCCCTGTGTTGGAACTTTCGTTCCGCGCAGCAGCGCAGTGGAAACGGCGTGCGCCCGCCGAGAACACGTTGTGAAAAGTCAGGCGGAAAGCTTGTGCCGAGCGGTAGCACTGATGCCATCTCGTTTCATTGCTGTCATTCCGATGCAGACACGTTGTTGAAGGGCCCAGCCGAATCTTCCGGGACTATGCGATCTGCGGCAGCTGTGGCTGGCGAAGGCACGACAGTCATGGGCTCTTCAATGCTCTGGAGCACTTATACAGAAAGTCAAACCTGAACCCTGCAGCCACAGTTAAGCATCTAGGATCTGAAAGAGTTTGCGACAGTATGATATGCAGAGCGCAGAACTAGCCGGCAAAAACAAGTGAGGGGATCAGTTCATGCCCTTTGCATTGCCGTGCAGCTACATGTAGCGATACGTTTTCGTTCTGCGAGGGCCACCAGAAACCTGTTGCCGATTGATACCGTCCGAGTCCTCAGTCCTCAAAGACCCTACTCCAAACCAGTCTTGCAGGTGCCTGAATCTTTGTGCTTTTTTTTGAGCCTTATTTAGGTGAGTCTTGTCGGGATCCGCATGACTGAGCTAGTCTGGCAGGGCAGCGACAGCAGCAAGCCAAAGGCAAGAATTTGTTTCAGGGTGGTTCGCATGAGATCGAGCCGTCATGGCCGTTCCGAGCTTTCCTGCCCGGCAGTCGCATAATCGCCTAGGGAGGGAGGGAGAGCGGGCTCCCAGGGGGGAGGGAGAGCAGGTCGATTTCATGATTGCAAGGTGCCAGGAAAAGACTCCACAGCGCCTCTTTGGAGGCAGGATCTAGATCATGTAGTAGGGGCCCTAATAATTGCCTATACTGTTTTGCGGTTCCTTAGTCTTACTACAGTATAATATACCCCAAAACCTTATTCTAATTATTAAGGCCCCTGTTTTATATCATGGGTTGATGGTTTAGGTCGCCTTCGTATCAGGGGCCTGTTCGGGTTTGACAAGGGTTCGGGGTTGCGTGACGGTTCTGTGGTGCGCGGTGAGAGATCTTCCGAAGGCAACGGAGACCGGTCGTCGTGTTGCGAGCCTTGGCTCTTCGGCGCATCGTGCGGGGCACAGAAGAGGCTTTGAACAGGGTTTAGGGGATACTGCTGTTGGGCAGCAATGTAGCGAAGTGGTTTTTCTGAAGCGTTTCTGTGAGACACTGCCTAAACTTGCCATGCAACTGCTCTGTCCAACGCCTTCCGGCCCCCTTCGTGTCAAATCGTAGAAGCGCGCGAAGCAAGAGTATCAGACACCATCCAACAAGGCGTTACACGGCTTATTCGGATCTAACTTGCTGCGTGTTGGCTGGGCAGTGTGTCCAGGGACGACTAGAAAGCGAAAGCACCCTCAACCCCTGAAACCCCAACCCTAAAAGCACGCCACTCTGCATGCCACCCAGGCAAGGACCGCAAGGACGCTCAGAGCCCGTCGTCGCCGCCAGGGTCTCGCCTGTGCATGCAACAATGCAATTTGCCACAGTAAAACTCATATTGGTACTTATGATAGTCTTATTCAAAATAAGAATCGTCATCACATTAAGACTAACGAAAACATCAAAAGTTAGCAGTATCAATAGGTTGGCACATGAATGCTTGATGTGCAGAGCCCACGACGGTCTAAACGAGGCTTGGCTCTGGGCCTCCTCGCAGTCTTGACCTTACAGTACTGAGCCACGTGTCCATCGACATCTGCTGTGTTTACATACCCTGGCGTATAGCACGCGAGAAATCACACAAACATGTGTTTGAGATGTCCTCGGTGCTGGAGGGCGCGGCCGTCTAATTGGTTTGGCAATGTGTTGTGGCTGGGAGTAATCCTGTGCAAGTTCAGCGTATTCGAGCGAGACAGCGCCAGAGCAATCTTGATGTTCTCCGTATCCATGGTTTGAGGTTCTGGCTGACCTTGGTGATTCACTTGGATATCGAGCAACTATCTGTTGCGGACGGTATTAGTAGGAACGCTCCGTTCAGGCATCATATTTTTATGTTTGTGCACAGAATGCCCGGAAACCGATGTTTGCCTGCTCCGATAAGTAGACAAGGCTCGCCTGCAGACAGCGCGGATCGGCTCGGCCTTCTGCAAGCGGTGATGCGGGGCCAGTTGCCCAGAGTAAGCTCGGGAAAACCAAGCATGGAAGAGATAGCCGAATCGTTCGAAGGGATGTGAACAGCTTTCAGGACATGAGAGTTGCGGGATAGCCACACACAAAAACCTATCATGTTTGGTCCCTTCTTCCATGGTCCGAACCTGATAGAGCCTGAATTGATGCTTTGGTTTGCTCTGAGGGGTGTGGAGCGTTTCCGGCAGCAGCGAAGGACGCTCAGGGTGGCACATGATGCTTCCTGCCGTGTTTCCACTTTCTGCTCTGTAAACCATCCATGGAAGCAGCATGCAGGACATTGCACGCGTGATGTGGGGAGCTCGCCTCATGATAAGATCAGAGAAGGCAGTTGTGCAGCCACCGCCCGTTTCCCTGCCGTCAATTTTAGAAGGTGTGGAGCGTGACGGCTCAACCAGCTCATGGCAGCCTGCAGTTTCATGGCTCCACTGCTTCTCCGAGAAGCAGGTGGTTACTGTAGGGTCAGATGAGCGAAGGGTGCGTGGCAACTGACTGTAGCGACTGTAGCGTAGTGTGCTACAAATGAGCGCTACAAGTCAGAACAGTTCCCGAAGAATTCATGGACAGCTGGTGCCGGGGTTAGCCTGTTCAGCAGCCTAAAAGGCTTGCTCAGGCTGGGCGCTTCGACCCAAATTGCACAGGCAGCCAGACTGCAACAGAATGGGGAAACCAGCTCGGGATGTGCTCTCGCACTTTGAATTGCAAGTCATCGTGCAGTCCGACACCGAAGAAGCGTGCAGCAGTGCAGCAGCATCACTGCACCTGCTACCTCGTCTGGTAGGGGGAGCCCCTTTCTGAGCGAACATGGCAGGCTGGAAGCACGGCCGCTCTTCGAACGGTCGCACAGGCTGGCTGTTGCTTGCCAAAGGCCGAGAGTGTCAGTCTGTCCGGCAAGCCCATAATCTGAGGCCCCCAGCTGGTCGGAGTCTGTTTCCACAGCTCGGGCTGCCGTTGCCGAGGCATCGAAAGAGACCGAAATTTTAAATGTGCGCTGTCATTCCTTCACGATCACTAAAGATGAGTGCCAGATTTTCACGCCTGCTCAGAGCATGGTCTTTCTTTGTCAAAGGCGAGCGCCGTGGTGGCTGAGAAAGCCCCTGTTTGGGGTGCGCAACTTTCTCAGGCAGCCCGCACCGCGTGTGTATGTCCAGAGTCGTTACCCGCTAGTCTCGTGCCGATGTTAGGCGAAAGCTGCTGTCGCCGAGGCCGTCAGAAGCTTCGAAGTTGTTCTTCCACCATGCACTTAAGACACGTCAACTGCATGCTTGGCACATCCTGGCGCTGTATCCACGGTGCCAGGTCGCTAGGCAGTCTCATAAGCCAATGAAGTGAGCCAGTGCCACAAGAAAAGCACAGATCTTGAGCCGGAAGCAAAAAGGCTGCCTCCACAGCTGCCTCCGCAGCTGGCAGAGCGGCAGCAGAGGCCCGGAAAAGTTGTGGCCGAGTGGCTGGCAAAGTCACACTGGATCCCAAAAAGCATGCGAGCCACTTGTTACATCGCCACGCCGCAAGTAAAAATCGCAGCAATAGGATTGTTGTTAGTAGTCAGTATCATGATCATGACTGTTACTACTAATCGTACTGTTACTATGACTATTGTTTTTATTATTGTTGTCTTTGTTTTTGCATCGACAGCTTTCGTTCCGTGCTCTGTGAGGCTTCCGCGGCCTTGGAAGCTCGTGGAACTGCGATGGAGGTCGGGCACGAATCGGCCACTCGTAGTCCAACAAGGGTTTAGGGTACAGGGCGGCGGGTTTGTGGGGTCTGGGGTTTGGGGAAGCATATTGAAGCTGTTTTTGGACTAGTAGTCCATGAGAAAATGGAATGGGCTGAGAAAAAGCAGGCTTTGGGAAAGCATGTGCATAGTTCCTCAAGAGCAGTATGCGCAGCAGTGGAGTCCTGCACGGTGAGGTGTCGGCCGCCTTGCCTCCAGACGAAGCGCAGGAGATCAAGGCCAACCTCCAGCACTTTTCAAGTGAAAACCTCGGAGCCATGGCACAGGACTTAGCGCACTTCACAGGATTTCGAATGAAGCTGGCAGAGCTTTGGCAGGCTGCTACCCATGCATCCTTTGCGGCCGTCAAGGCAGGGAAGCTCAAAGGGTTCATGGTCTTCATGGTCAGGTAGGCTCAGCAGTTAAAGGTATCAGACAAAAAAGGATTGCAGTGGCAGAGGCCATGTGGAGGCTGCGAGGTAGCATGATCCTAATGCACTCCCCGAGCAGTGCTGGAATGTTGAATGGCATCAGCTGCTGACTCGGAACCCCCAAGCAACATCAAAACACGCGAAAGACTATCTGGCTTGGGCATGCGCGGTGCAATGTTGGGGTCTTTACTGACTTACGTCGCCACAGCTTCTGACGGTTCCCGTTCGTGCAACAAGGAGCCGGCCCAGCCCGCAGTGAAGCTCGAGGCCTGGGTTGAGCAACGAATGGGACCTTTGCCAAAATCTTGATGCTGGAACTGCAGGAGACCGCTCCGGACCTGGTCCCTCCACTCCTGGTGCCAGCAAGCAACGGAGGTCGAACTGGCCTTGAGAGTGACAGATTAGGGACTGCAGAGCCACCGCCACAGCTTGTGGCTGCTCCGCTTCTAGTTCCCATGGATCCCTGACGGGTACAAAAGCGGTCACACCGCGACAGGCAGTGTCAGAGGCGGCTGGGAAGGACAAAAAGAGACCAGCGTACACACCCTTTACGATGGCTTCCCTGCTGACGGTGGACTTGACCAATCACGCAGGTGAATCTCAACATGATCTCCTGACCAGAGATTGCTCGAACATGCCGCAACTAGGGGTTCCTAAATCCGCCCAGAAATGAGACTCTGCAACCAACTATTCCTAAAAAGGCTTGTATCTTAATTCTGAGCCGAAACCTTGAGCCCGAAATGGTTACAGCCCAAGCAATCTTGGTTGACAGAGCTCAGCGTGCCTCTTGGACCACATCATGTTCCCTCATCCCTGGACGCTGCTGACTACCTCACAATGGCAAAGAAGTCCATCGTCGTCCTGGGCCACGGTCCCATTGGCCACTCCTTCATCGACAAGCTCGTGGCAACTGAGGCCAACTACGAGATCTCCGCGCTGTGCGAGGAGCCCCGGCCAGCGTAGAACCACGTCATGCTCACTCAGTACTTTCGAAGCACGACAAGATGAAGCTCTCCTAAATTTTCCTACGTGGAGGAAGATCTGAAGAGCCTCAGAGCATCGATCCTGAGGCCAAGCAGGTTTCCTACACGATGAATGGCTCCAACAAGTCCGAGAATGTTGGCTATGACAAGCTGGTACTGGCTTCTGAACCGGCAGCTTCTGCTTCGTGCCACCCATTCCGGGCATGACGCTGCCGTGAATTGGCCGGATGCTTCGTCTGCCGCACCGTCGAGGATTTGGAATCCTTGCTCGCAGCGGTCAAGAACGGTGAGAAGAGGGCGGTCGTCATGGGTGGCGGTCTCCTAGGGCTTGAGGCAGCAAAGGCAGCATGCGACCTGAAGCTTGACAGTCACGTGCTGGAGATGGCTCCATACCTCATGCCCACTCAGCTCAACCAGGCTGCTTGGCAAGGTGCTGACGAAGAAGATTGAAGATGTGGACCTGAGCGTGCACTGCAGCGTGCAGATCAAGAAGGCTGTCCTTGACGGCAATAGTGTGAAGGGCATCGAGTTCCTGCTTGCTGTGGCTTGCACTGCGAAACCATTTAGTTCTATGGGCCTTGACAGGACGATTCGAGCCCAAGAGTGAAGCTCCTTGCGAGCTGGTGGCTTATTTGCTGTTGCCCATTCTGCTATGTTGCCCTCTGTCTACCTAGCTATCCCTCCATCCATCCAATCCATTCACGTGAAGTTTGTCTATCTGTGTGTACACACACACGTACATACGCCTATGTATGTGTGTATATATATATATGTCATTACATATCACCATATGGTAGGTATGTTGACAATTGTAGCAGCATCGCTGGCAATCGCAATGTAAAGCCAATATACTCAACGTAATGAGTTGATGAAGCAACATCTGCATTGACATATGTTTAGTATGTATGTATGTATGTATGTATGTCATGAGTTATGTGTGTCTGCGTATATGTGTACATACACAAGTACATATGTACATATGTATCTAATCTATCTGTATATATATATATATATGTATATATGCAACCCCTCCTCATGAGGAGGAGTAAGTGGGGTACCATGTATGTGTACATACATATACGTTTTTCTATATATATATATATATATATATAGATGTGTGTGTGTTTGTTTGTGTCTATGTGCACATGTATATATACATACGTGTAGAGGAATCCGTGATTGCACGGATCAACTCGCATGTCATAGGGTTAAGCCAGCTGCTTGTGCACACACTCGGGTGCCGCGGATCTCGTCGGGCCATGCGACCATTTTGGATCATGGGCACGTCCGGGTGCTTTCTGTTTTCCCTTCGGGTTGATATACACGTATGTCACATTGCGTGTAGCATGTCTAGTTGAATATCTATCCACCATTCTCGTTGCTTCCGTGTATTTATCTGTTGACTTCTCCCGCATTGCGCGCATGTGCATATATGTGTGTAGATGTGCATGTGTATCTACACATACCTGTGCATGTACGTTTAATGGACATTTATATATAGCGCAAAAATGTCTACATATACAACCACATATACCTGCTTTGTACGTATATACATAACCTTTTGTATATAGAAAATATCTTCATGCGCCTACATATGCGTGCATGCATGCATGCATGCATGCATGGATGGACGGATGATGTAGCATGGTTTGTTGCATACGGCGTTGCATACGGCAGCAAAGCTTGCAGTCATTCTGGCCATCATGCGTTTCATCAAATGTTCTGTGAGGCTGGAGCACTGAAGATCTGGATCGCGGGCGGCTCACCCTCATTGCTGGACGTGGCTCGCATGCAGTTCACGTTCAAGCAGGGATTTGCAGTTTGATGCCCGGGAGATGTCTGCCAGGAGGGTAAGATCTACAGCATTTGGACGGGTCCTGAATCCGTCGACTGCTCTTAGAAGAGGTTGCAAAGCATCGGAAAGTGCAGTGTTTCAAGCGACTGCGTGGCGGATGCGACCTTAGCTGGCCGGAAGTGGGCATGGGTGCGGAATGCGGTGCTGTTAGCCAAGGCCCGCGATGAAGTTCAAGGAGCTTTGAGCTCTTCTGAAAAAGCTCCACATGGTCTCCCGACGAAATGGTGATGTCATGTGATCAAACGGGAGCAAGCAAATTCCTGATGCATTATCCATGAGAGTTTCTTGGCGCCCAAGGCTTGTGGTTCTCGGTGAGATGCGTCCTGGCAGCATGGGATGGTAAGAGTTTGGGGGTGGGTCAAGGCTCCAGATTATTGCCGCAGCTCAGGTTTAGCTGCCCCGACGAAATACTTCTACGAATATGGCGAGAGGCTGCCCTTGCCAACACTCCCAAGCGTTTTGCCTTGAGCCTGTGATGAAGGAGCCCAAACGCTCTAAAACGTGGCCTATGGCTCAAGGTGAGGTGTGGACACAGATCTAAAGTTGCTGAGGCTGAGCATAGTCGCCTCTCGCAGCGCAGCGTGTGCGATTATGGCAGGCAAGAGCGTCGTTGTGGTTGGACATGGCCCCATTGGTCATGCCTTCATTGAGAAACTGGCTGAAAGGGAGGCCGGGTTCGACATCACAGTGGTTTGCGAGGAGCCCCGTCCAGCATACAATCGTGTCATGCTGACACAGTACTTCTTGGACTGCGATGGCGACAAGCATGACCAAATGAAGTTGTCGTATTGGAGCGAGGAGGATTTGAAGAGCAAGAATGTCAAGCTTGTCTATGGTCGTGCAACCAGTATTGACCGTGACAACAAGTCCGTGGCGTACTCCAAAGTCAGCCACGGCGGAAGCTCTGTTGATGAAGATACAGACTCATTGAAGTACGACATCCTGGTGCTTTGCACTGGCAGCTTCTGCTTCGTTCCACCAACTCCCGGCTTCGTTTTGCCAGAAAAGAAGAACCCCCAGTGGCCGGATGACCCAGCTTCTCGCCCGGAAGGCGTCTTCGTGTACAGGACGATCGAAGATCTTGAAGCACTCATCGCTGCAGCAAAGAAATCCAAGCGAGCAGCCGTGATTGGAGGCGGTCTCTTGGGCCTCGAGGCTGCAAAGGCGGTGTATGATCTCGAGATGGAAAGTCACGTCGTGGAGATGGCCCCGTACCTCATGCCGACGCAGCTCAACCAGGAAGCTGGCAAAGCGTTGGAGAGGAAGATAAGCAGCCTTGGCATCCACGTGCACAGTGGGGCCAAGATCCAAGAGGCTGTCCTTGATGGTGGCAAGGTCAAGGGCTTGAAATTCACTCCCAATGGCGAAACCGAACCAAAAGTTTTGGACGTGGACATGATTGTTGTCTCTTGTGGAGTTCGTCCTCGAGATGAATTGGCACGTGGCTGTGGTCTCGAGCTCGGTGGTCGAGGAGGTGTCAAGGTGGACTCAGGCTTGTGCTCTTCGGACCCTAACATCTATGCTCTGGGAGAGGTTGCATCGATTGGGGGCGTGTTTTGCTATGGTTTATGGGCTCCGGGAGTTGACCAAGCAGAAGCACTGGTCAAGAACCTGGTTGATGGCGCAGGCAGTGCCAGCTACGAGAAGAGCGACTTGAGCACCAAGCTGAAGCTCTTGGGAGTTGATGTTGCTTCCTTCGGTTCCGATGAGAGCTTCTGGTTCAATCGCAAGTTCGACGGCAAGGATCCAGAAGTTGTGAACTTGGAATGCAGCAGTCCCCTGGACGGCTCGTACCGGCGGCTGTGCTTCACGAAGGATGGCAAGAAGCTGGTGGGAGGTGTCCTCGTTGGTGATGCGAAGGATTATCCAAAGCTGCTGCAGATCTGCAAGAAGGGCGACTTGGGCGGCGCTGATCCTGAAAGCTTGGCTTTCCGCCGACCTCCCCCAGGTCAAGGAGCAGTGGCCAACGATGGTGGAGACGGCACTGGCATTGCTGAGGACGATGTCATCTGCACCTGTTTGAATGTCACCAAGGGCGAGGTGGTGAACGCCATCAAGGACAAGGATTGCTTGACAGTGCCCCAGATCAAGAAGTGCACAAAGGCTGGCACAGGCTGCGGAGGCTGCTGCACTCCAGTGGGTGAGGTGCCAAAGGTGCTATCAGCCACGTTGAAGGCCCTGGGGAAGGAGGTCAAGGCTGGAATCAGCGAGTGCTTTCCGTACACACGGCAGGAACTTTTCAACATCTTCCGTGTCAAGGAGATCAAGACCTTCGAAGCGGGGTTGTGCTTGGGATAATTTTTAATTTCCCTTATTTCCTTATGAAGGGAACCTATTCATAAGTAACGTGCAAAGGGTTTAAAGCACAACCCAGGAAGAGGCCATTGAGAAGGTTGCCGTGGGTGGCAACGGAAGTGAGCTGGACAAGCCAGTGATCGCTTCCATTTTGGCCAACATCTGGAACGACAGCGTGCTAAAGGGCGGTCGCGACCAAATTCAGGATACCAACGATCGGTTCCTGGCCAATATTCAGAAAACTGGCACCTACTCGGTGATCCCCCGCTGCGCCGGTGGTGACATCACGCCCGATGAGCTCATAGCCATTGGCAACGTCGCCAAGAAGTATGGC